AATGATGGATGGATGGATGGATAGATGATAAATGGATGGATAGATGATGGATGAAAGGATGGATGGATGGATAGATGATGAATGGAAGGATCGATAGATGATGGTTAGACAGATAGATGATAGATGATGGGTGGATGGATGGATGGATGGATGGGAGGATGATTGGATGGATGGATAGATAGATGATGAATGGATGGATAGATGATGGATGGATGGATGGATAGATGATGGATGGATGGATGGATGGATGGGAGGATGATTGGATGGATGGATAGATAGATGATGAATGGATAGATAGATGATGGATGGATGGATAGACAGACAGATGATGGATGGATAGATTTGAGGAGGATGCCATTTACTGGCCCTCACTGTTTTTCCAAAAAAAAATCAGAATTCTTGAAACCAGAAGGGCCTGATTGAAACACAGTGAGACTATCCTTCAATTAAAAGAAAAGTATGGAAAAGGGCAAAGAATTTCAAACCTTTCCTCCCTCCCCCAGCAAAAAAAAAATAAAAAAAAATCCTGGCCCCTTTCCAGATCCTTCTTCAACCTTCTCCCCATAATTCCTTCCCACCGGATCCAACCCTGCCCTCCATGGGTCCCATAAAGACACATTCTTGGCCATGTTCCTGCATCCAGGATTCCGCATCCCTGCCAGCCTCCCCCCTTGGCCGGAGGGACCCTTAAACCCCCACCCACCCCGCTCTTTCCCTGGCCAAAAAAACTTAGATTTCCAGCAGTGGAAAATGCAAAGCCCTTTTCGGGCAGGGCGAAAGAGCCTTTTAGGACTGGTGGATTTCCTGCCGCCGTTTTCCAGTTCATTAAGACTCTGGAGGGCAATTGGGGTTCGTAGACCCCACATTGCTTCGCTTTGACTCATAAACTGGGTGTTGCGATACGCCTGGTTTCCACCTATTGAAATGACGGCCGTTTGCTGGCCGGCACAGGAACTGACCCCTTCCATTGTTCGCAAGAGGGATGATGACACAAAGAAGGATAATTACCTATTCTTTCTTTCGTTCTTGATGGCTTTCCCAAAATTCGAAGCAATTTTATTGTATTTTGTTTTATTTTACTTTTTTTTTTTTGCTGAGGCAGAAATTTCATTCGGAATAAGGGAAGGGGCGGCAGGAAAATTCTCTCCCCCCCCCTCCACGCTTTAACAAATAAAATACGATGATAGAATAGAATGAATGAGCTGGAAGGGACCTTAGAGGTCTACTAGTCCAGCCTCCTGCTCAAACAGGAGAATCTACACCCACTCAGATATGTGCCTGTCCAGCTCCAGAGGTGGTCATTTAGTAACCGAGGTTTGTATGTGTGGTTGTTGGCAGGTAGTCCTCAACTTATGACCGCAGTAGAGCGTGAAATTTGCATTGCTGAGCGAGACATTTGTTCAGGGAGTTTCCCCCTATTTTACGATCTTTCTTGCCACAGTTGTTCAGTGAGTCACTGCGGTTGTTAAGTGAGTCACGCAGTTGTTAAGCGAATCTGGTTGACTTTGCTGGTCAGAAGTTTGCTAAAGGGGAGTCACGTGACCCCATGGGACAATACAACCATCATAAATACGAGTCAACTTGCCAAGCATCTGAATTTTGATCGTGTGACCTTAAAGGATGTTGCAGGGGTCGTTAAGTGTGGAAAAGTGGCCACAAGTTACTTATTCAGTGCTGTTGTAACTTTTAACGGTCACTAAATGAACTGTTGTAAGTCAAGGATTAACTGTACTCAGGGATGGGATTCTACCGGTTCAGACTGGTTGTACAGAACCGGTTGTTATGATTCTGCGCAGTTCAGAGAACCGGCAAATTGTGCCCCTGGCTGACCCCGCCCCTCTCTGTCCGCCCCTCCCCTCCCCGCCCAGTCAGTCCTTATCGCAAATGCGCGACATCGCTGACTGCGTTCTTCCCCGCCCAGTCACGCCTTAAGGTATTTTTTCCCCTCTCCCGACAATCATCTGTTCCGATGATCAGCTCTGCCGGGATTCCTCTGTCTTACTGCTCCGCCCAGGAGGCAAAAAAAATGGGGGGGGGGGGGGTTGTTGCTGCAAAAAACAAAAAAGAAACCATGCCTACCCAGTCACATGGCCACGCCCACCTAACCACGCCCACCGTAGTGCTTCCCTAAGGAGATGCATTTTCATATTGTCCTCTGGGAAACAGTACGAGTGAGTAGTCCTCAACAAAAGTTTGTTTAGTGACCATTCAAATTTGCAATGGCATTGAAAAAAAAGGACTTAGGATCGTTGTTCACACTTACGAACGTGGTCATGTGGTAAAAATTCAGATGCTTGACAACTGACTCATACTTATGACGGTCGCAGTGTCCCAGGGTCACATGATCCCCTTTTGCGACTTTCTGACCAGCAAAGTTGATGGGGCAAGCCAGATTGCTTAACAACCTTGGCATTAACTTAAAAACTTCAGTGATTCACTTAACAACAGTGGCAAGGAAAGTCGTTAAATGGGGCAAAATTAACATAACAAATGTCTCATTCAGCAACGGATATTTTGGGCTCACTTGTGATCGCAAGTTGAGGGCTACCTGCAACTGTCTAATTATTCTGTAAGAGTTGGGGTTCTTTTGCCCCTAAACCTTATAGATGGTCCCCTCTTACAAAAATTTAGTATGGGTAGTCCTCGACCTACGACCACAATGGGGTCCAGAACCTCTGTTGTTAAACAAGACAGTTGTTAAGTGGTTTACAACCAGTCAGCCTACTCGCAACCATTAGCAGCGTCCCTAGGGTCACGTGATGCAGTCGACATGTACCGCCGACAGTTGCCCTGTGCCTGGGTCATGTGATCCCGCTTGCAACTTCCCCGCCGGCTTCCAACAAGCAGAGTCAATGAGGAGAGGCTGGATTTGCTTAACAGCCACACGGTTCACTTAACAACAACTGCAGTGATTTGCTTAATGACCAAGCAAAGGTCATCAAATTGGGCACAACTCATTTAACAACTGCCTTGCTTAGCCACGGAAATCCAAACAGTGGCCTTAAGTTGAGGAGTACCTCTACCTGCTTATTAATTCAAGACTGAGCTGGTAATCTCTCTGGGATATCTTTATTGTGTTTTGTTTTGTTTTATTATTTACTTTTTTATTTTATGTATTATTATTTTATTTTCTTACCTTATTTTATTATTATATTTTTTTATATTTTTTATTTTGTTTTGTTTTTATGTTATTTTTTAATGTTTTACCTTTTTATTTTAATTATTTTAATTTCATTTTGTTTTATTATTTTATTCATTTAGCTTAGTATGTATTAATATTTTATTTTATTTCATTATTTTATTCATTTAGCTTAGTATGTGTTAATATTTTATTTTATTTCACTTCATTATTTTATTTCACTTTGTTTTGCTATTTCATTTTATTCATTTTTTAAAAATTCTACTTTATTTTATGCTTTCACCCACACACCCCTCCCTCCTGCTGGCTCCACCCTTCTTCTCCTCCCTTGGGCAAGGTGGGAGCCGGAGATTGCTCCGTCCACGCACCATCAGGCGCTTTGCAGCCAACAAGGACCTGTTTGTTTGGCACCCTCTCGAGGGGCACCGCTCAGATGCAGAGGCTGATCCAGGCCTCTGCTAGCATTTTTTAATTGGGACTCCAAGACCAGATATTGTTGGCTTTGAAAGAAGGCAGCATTTTCACAGAAGAGAAATATCATGGTAGACATTATAATCTGCTAGGAAACCATCAAATTCAGAGAGATTTTTTTTGAGCAGAAATGGATGCTGGGAACCAGGTCCGGTCTTGGGTTCGAGACAGCCCACTTTATTGCAAGTGAGGCTTATTCGATCTACATTAAAATCCACATTTCTTTGCGAGGGTTTAGTTTTTAAAAGGCTGCTATGAGTAGTCCTCAACTTACAACCATACACTCAGTGACCTTTTGAAATTACAGCAGCACTGGGGAAAAAAAAAAGCAATGATTCACTTAACAACTGTGATTGTAAAACGCAACACTCAAACTTAACAACTGTCCTGCTCAGACACAAAAATTTTGGGTTTATAAGTTGAGGACTATCTCTATTGTGTGACTTTTAGTTTATCTTGAGTATTGGAGGGGGTGCCGATAGATGTTTAACAAGTGTTTGCCATTAAACACGTGAATAGACACATGTGAACAGACACACAAACGCACAAATATACAAACACACACTTCATGTCTGAACTCCACATCTACATGAGGTCTACGAAAGTGTTTCTCAAACTTGGCCACTGGAAGGTGAGTGGACTTCAACTCCCAGAATCCCCTGGCGAACATACTTTCAGAGGGGAGGACTTCCAACTCCCAGAATTCCCTAGCCAGCCATGCTTTAAGCGGGAAGGACTCCCAGAATCCCCCAGCAAACATGCTTTAAGAGGGGTGGACTTCCACTCCCAGAATCCCCCAGGTAGAGTGCTCTAAGAGGGGGTGGACTTCCACTCCCAGAATCCCCCAGCAAACATGCTTTAAGAGGGGAGGACTTCCACTCCCAGAATCCCCCAGGTAGAGTGCTTTAAGAGGGGTGGACTTCCACTCCCAGAATCCCCCAGCAAACATGCTTTAAGAGGGGAGGACTTCCACTCCCAGAATCCCCCAGCAAACATGCTTTAAGAGGGGTGGACTTCCACTCCCAGAATCCCCTGGCCAGAATTCTGGGAGTCGAAGTCCACCTGTTCTTCCAGGGGCCAAGGCTGAGAAGAAGCACAGATGCTTAAGGACATCTCTTTACATTCCTTGCTTTGAGATGCTTTTCCAGATCCCACCTGGGAGCAGTGATGCGCAAACTCAACTTGCTCCAGCATTTGTGCGCCCGTGCATGTGAGTGTGTGGCTGGCTGGCTCTTCCGGTGTTCTCTGTGTGTGTGTGTGTGTGTGTGTGGTGTATGTGTGCGCAGAGACATCTATGTAAATACCTCCAGGAAATATCCCCGCTGTCTTTCTTCTCGAGCCTGCTGGTGCATCAGCTTCAGGACGCATGTTGTGAATCACACATCGTCTCTCTCTCTCTCTCTCTCTTTCTCTCTGTCTTTCTTTGGCTTCGCCTTGAGGTGCTCCATCCCCAGATCTTCCAGGAAAAGGTAGGTTTACCTGCCAGGTGTCTCCTTCCCCTTCTCTGCTCAGGAGGGAGATCTCAGCAAAGCCATCGCCTCAAATTCAGATATTTCGATATTGCGAATATCTGGTTGCAAACTCTATCTGAATCTCTCTTAACAATTTTGCAATTTAACGTCCCCTCCATGCCATCCTCCAAATTTTTGCAACCTTTGCAATTTGCAATCTTCGCAATTTGTGACCCTTGCAATCTGCAACCCTTGCAATTTTCTAAAAATTGGACAGGTCCATAAAGATTTTATTTTAGTTATTTTGTTTTAAGGAATAATTTGAGGAATTTGAGGCGTCTTGCATTGTATTCAATTGCATTGGTTGTGTTATGTTGTTTTATTTTATTTTGTTTTATTATTTTATTATTCTGTTCCCATTCCATTCCTTGTTCTGTGCTGTTTTATTTGATCCTTATTCCCTATTCTATTCTATTCTATTCTATTCTATTCTATTCTATTCTATTCTATTCTATTCTATTCTATATTCCATTCTCTTCCTATTCCTTATTCTATTTTCTATATTGTATTCTATATTCTATTATTTCTATTCTATTCTATTCTATTGATTCATTTTACACATTTTTGAACTGTTTTTTTTTCTCCCGGTGTAAGAGGTGCAAATATCCATCTGTACTTTCCATGGCTACATACCTTTTGATCACATTGAATGTTAATCAGATTTGCAAATTATGCAAATTGTAAAACAGGGTGCATGTACAGTTTAAACCTCAGGGTGTCCATGTCCTCCTTGTCTTCCCTCCCAGGACAGAGCCCAATTGGACAACTGTCCAGTTTTGGCTCCAACAAGGATATTGTCCAATTGGAGCAATTTCAAAGATGCCTAACAGTTTAAGGGTCTAAAACCCAAACCATGCAAGCAAAAGTTCAGGTTTGGGTATGTTGAAGTCTCTAAAGGAGAAGTTTGAGTTGGAGATGCGATGAGTGTAGAGTTTTGTTTTAATTCTTGACTAGCCGGATCAAAATACAAAAGCGCTAACCACAAAATGCAATGCATCAATCAATTATGGCCTAAAAATTAATATATGATAGGTAATGTTGAATATATGAAGGTTTGTCACAGTGAGAAGGGAGTGCACCTATTCTGGATTTTTTGCCTCAAAAGGTAGAATCAGACTCAAGGTGTTGAAATGGTGAAGAATGAGGTCCAGAAGAACTTCTTGAGACCACAAATGGTCACAGGACTGGGGGAATTCTCCATCACCAGGGGGGGTCTTCAAACGAAGGATGGAAATCATATGGTGTCATGGATATGGCACAGAGTTGGAAGGGGCTTAGAGGACTCCTAGGCCAGTTAAAGCAGGAGAACCTCTACCATTTGTGGTCCTTTCCAACTCTAAAATTTGTGATTCTTCAGGTCCTTTTTTGATCTATGAGAATATGTGGCAGGGAGATTGTCGTACATCAGCAGGAAGATTTTTTTTAAACAATGGAAGTAAACGCTAAATAAATTGGACGCAGTTTATGGAGGGGAAGAAAGCATGAACTCCCTGAACGTATGATACTTTTGAAAACGGGCAAGATCCCCTCAAGTTTTTGTTCTTTCGTATCAGTTTATTCGTTTCAGATTTATTAACCCTCAAAAAATTAATTAAAATTAATTGTAGCAATTTGGAGGTGACTCTCGGTGGGCATAATGACGGACGTTGTCCAGGAGAATCTGTCTTCAAGCTTGTTCTTGAGGTCTTTGTGTGGTTGCCACCATAACTGAGTTTATTTACCTTGTTGTCTTCTTCTCTTTCCTTCCACCTTTCCCATTATCATGGACTTCTCAAGGGATCCTGAGTTTTTTCTCTGATTGATGAATTATGGTCCATCCTGTTGGTGTTGAGTCTTGGTGACCACCTAGAATCTTCTCCAGGCTGATTTATCCCCAACTTGGTCCTTCAGATCTTCCAATAAGACATTCATGGTCAACATAGTTGAGTTGTTTCTTCTTCTTCTTCTTCTTCTTCTTCTTCTTCTTCTTCTTCTTCTTCTTCTTCTTCTTCTTCTTCTTCTTCTTCTTCTTCTTCTTCTTCTTCTTCTTCTTCTTCTTCTTCTTCTTCTTCTTCTTCTTC